GATTTTGTTAAAGAATATATATTAAAGTAAAGGATCGTAAATGAAGGGATAATATTAATAATATTCCTATCTTTCACCAAAGTTGACCATTGATCACAATTCAATTCACTTTGCTCCAAAGAGTATTGAATAGTATCAATGACTGGATTATATAGTACCATGTACCAATCACGTGATGTACAATAGATACTATTGGCTGTGTGGCTGGCCATATCACTGGTGCTAGTAAGATAGAAGAACGAATAACTGTACCATATGTAATATTAATAGAGCCATGATCACGTGATGTACAATAGATACTATTGGCTGTGTGGCTGGCCATATCACTGGTACTAGTGAGATAGAAGAACGAATAACTGTACCATATGTAATATTAATGATATTAATAGAACCATGATCACGTGATGTACAATAGATACTATTGGCTGTGTGGGTGACCGTATCACTGGTGCTAGTAAGATAGAAGAACGAATAACTGTACCATATGTAATATTAATGATATTAATAGAACCATGATCACGTGATGTACAATAGATGCTATTGGCTGTGGCAATTGAAATCAATGGAAATTCCCGAATGACGTAATTGTGAATTAGCTCGTTATTAGGTAATTAGCACTTTGGGAGAGAAGCTTGCATGACGTCAGTGAAAAACTTTTTCGATACATGTTTACCTAGACTGAGTCAGCTTTCTTCTGGGATTCCTGTGTGTAACAGAGAGAAAAATGGAAGAAGGTTCTTTCACGGTCCCAGTCCTTTGCATACCACACCACAGGATTCCCAGTAGATGAGTAGAAGACTTTCAAGTGTATGTTGCGCACAAAAGAAACTCTAACAAAGGCGCACTATAGCTATAGCTTTTTAAATTTACAAACTTTATTAGTCGATAGTTACTTTTTTATTTCCTTTTTATATCCTTTAGCTTAGTTGGGTCGTTTTAGTTCAGCCGTATCTTTTACTGTCAGAAGGATGAAGGCTTGAAGCATTTGTGTTGGTAATGTTACTAAGTATGTAACTGGTGATTTTTTTAAAGCTCTGCTCTTTGCCTTTTTAATTTAATTTAATTTTTCATTTTCATGGTTCCCCAATAAGAGATTATCCGTCGATCAAACCTCTTGCTTAATGCCGGAAAACACGACCACCACCTTTAATTCAAACTCTACTTCAAATAATGTTATCTGATCAAAAATACTCGAATAATTGTCACTCCAAGAGCAATAATAACGAAAAGAACACAGATAAAACCAAACGAGATATGAGGTGCACAATTAAATACAATATTAAAGATTCCCAGTCAAATATCTTGATATCATCGGTTGTTTCTCACCAAATGGGGAACGATTCGGTGTTATTGGACACAAAAACTATCAAGATCTAAGCTTTTTACTCAAACTCATTCTTACCAATTATCTGACTATTTGTTTTGATTTTAAAATTTAGAGATTACAAATAAATTTATTACGTTTTCTATAAGCATGAACGTTTTTATTAAAGGTATAATTGTTTCGTCTGAAGTCTGTTTATTGAATTTGTTAGCCAAAATAGGTTCTGTAAAAACAATGGTAGCTTAGGTACCCCATGGGAAACTCTGCAACTGAAGTTTCTTCTTTTAAAAACAGGGTGTTTTTTGATATTCACTGTAGATCTTAGACTTCCCCCAAAAAAGAAGCGACTCAAGCTCCTCTATCGCGTTAATAAGAATTCGATTTAAAATAATTGGCTAATATCAAAATAAATAAAATTATGGAAAACTTTTTTGATTTACAGAAGAATTACCAAGAAAATTGCTTTAATTACGCTCTCAGAATCGATAACTTTTGATTGTCTCTCACAATAGAAATTAAACTACTAAAAAACATTTTTAAAACCGAAAAAAGCTCCGACTTCAACCTGTAGACAACAGGATTTTTCTCTTAATTTGTCTCACATTTGCTAGCTTTTCTATTTTCTCAGAGCAAAAGTTTAAATTAAAGGAATTGTGGAGGCTGCATGAGCAAACCTTCAAATTTCAATGAAACTTTAGTGTCGGCTTTGTTTATAGTATTATATAACTATAATATATCTACGTTTTGAAATGAAATTAAACAATCGAGTCTTGACTAGTTGGCTGTATTTACTTCATTAGTACGAAATCAGTTCCACGCACTTACACAAGGAAAAAAAAAAAAAGAAAAAAAGAAAAAAGAAAAAAACAGAACAATTTGTAAACTTAAAATTATTCTGTGTTCTAGTGAATTCTTCAAATTTTAATATCCAGTCTGATTTTACTGATTTTACTTGCCAATGTTTGGAAACAGCTAACTATGAAAACAGCTTCGCACTGAGGAAACGAGCAAAAACTAATCACAAAAAGAGAAAAATAAAGTCATATTTCTATTTTTTATTATTTAATAATCTTTTTCCTTTGTAAAAATAGTCTTTATTGTTCCTAAACTGGATTTGCTCTGCGGGTTTTAATATGAATTACCTTCTTCACAACGATTTGATTCGCAATCTTCTTCCACCTGCTATGACCTTGATTCCCGCGATAAAACACCGATATTCAAAAAATACTTAATTATTTTTCATTCGTTCTAAGTTTTTCTATTTGGCGTTCTCGTTTTGTTATCAAAGTTTGATCAAAACACAACCAACTCAAAACTAAGGAAAGTCATTCAACTTGAAGCCTTTCCGAATAAATTAAACATTTAGGAACTAGTGAAGTTGTACAAAACTTCATGCGCTATTGCCAAGCAAAAAAAGACCATTTAGTCGTATTGACATTAATTTACTAATAAAGAAACAAAAAATGTTTCTCAGGACTTGTTTCTCGAAAGAACTCAGTACGAAAGGAACCGTCGGTAAGAGTCATTAATCTGAGGGGATTAGCCTGTAACTGTCGCTAATCAAAAAAGACAATTGACAATCTTGCCACCAACGTTCAACTAATTTACCAGTTAACGCAAAGCCTACAAAATGCCGACTCTTGACATTTTATTAAGCATATGCTTCTAATTCTCGGATTATTTCTTTACAAAAGCATTGGCAATCTTTGGTTTTCTTTTTAAAACTCGTGGTGGCAGAAATAATTATGGGATGGATGCGTCGGTGTCTTTTAACTATTAAGACATGCCCGCCAAAACGATTCTCACCGCTTACTAATCCACAATGTAAACGAGTCTAAGTCAGAGGCAATCCCTGCTAGATTTGATACATAATTTAGATTGGAGTGAGTAGAGATCTAGAACATTTATAACTCCGTTATATAAGCCGAAAGTTTAGCTTAACTGCATATGGCTTCCTGTTAGGACAATTAGCCAATCAAAACAAGCTCATTTATGAATTCCCCAAAACACTTGATTGAATACCCCAAATTAAATTTCCCAATTTACCGAGATGATAAAAGATCTCGAAAATCAATCAGTCTTAACAAGCGAAGGAAATAATCGAAAAGATTTTCTTTTATTCGTTCAGTCAAAATGGGTTACATACTGGGCGTGAAAGAATCGTTTTATAACTTGTGACTTAACTCCTGTCAACGATCCAGCTGCGATGGTTCTCAATTTAATTGATTCTCCAATTAGTGGAGTGATGGATTCCCTAATACTCTTAATTCCAACATAATCCGAGTTTCTCGCTTGCGGTCCGCTATCCTATTATATTAGTAACGTATTTATTGTTTCGGGGTATGAAGGCCGCGCTCGACCATGCTGTTGGCATGCTATCGATCTATAACCAACACAAACACTTCATAAAAACTTCTCCATTTTGGGATTGGTGAGCTCCTTTGTCCTTCGCCTCTCTGACTAAAACAGGCATTTGTTGTATGGAAATACGCACACACGCAACGAAATTCGATTGAATTATAGTTGCTTAGATACGAAGAACTACCCTCAAACGTTCTGATAATATCTATTAGATTATTGCAATCAATCAAGCGAGCACTCGTTACCAAAAAATCAAATAACCTCGCTAATTTTCTTTGATAGAAGCGAAATGGAAAATTGAATATGAAAGTCTTATTCGTAAAGAGATAAGAATGATTGATAATAATTAAGCAAGTACAGTTTCATTAGCTAGGGGAATGTTTCTTGGTTGTTTTTCGTTTGTACATAGACTCTGGAACGTGATTTGACCGCCTCAATAATAAAAACGAATTCTATTTCACTACAGCAAAACTTAAAAGGCTTTTTCTATGTGTTTTGTCTATAGACGTAAGTACTAAAGCGAATTTGAAAATTCCTCCAAGTTCTGTTCAGACGCCAATATATGAAACTTTCATTTTATTGCTAATGTTATGGGAGAAATCTCGAAATGAATAAGTTATACAGAGCGCTCTGAGATTTGGGGAAAAGAAAAATTCAAACGTCAAAATAAAGGAAAAACAGAGGCGATATTTCAGAATTTTTTTCTTATTCAGATTGGTAAACTAATATTCTCGGTTTAAAGTTTTTTTATTTTATAGGTTCTTATAAACATTAATCTGCTTCAAATCATCATTATTCGGTACTGATCAACTGTTCAGGGAAGTGCAGCCAGAACTAACAAGGCTTTGAAACTCTTAACACAGTTTTACATCAGTAAAGTGAATGAGCTGGAAGTGATGTGATAAGTATGTGTTAAGTTGCTATTCTCGCAGGCTGCAGAGTAATAATCATCATCAAAAGACGTATCGACCCTTGTATACCAGCAACCAGCAAAAACCAGCTACACGGGTTATTATTTCCAAAGCCATATGTTATCATTACGTCCAGTAAGACGCAAACTAACTCGTATGATTGTGAACAAAAGTACAAAATATTTTCATAATACTAAGTAGAGATGTTTGTCATGATGGAAGTCACTGGGTTGAAGATCCACTAGAGTGTTCTTTCGCGCGCATTCTGAGCGCAACAATACTGGATGTCCGTCTTTCTGTCTCTCGCTCGTTTGGCAAAGAATTACCTAAAAGTTCTTGAGAACCACACTTGAAAGGATTTGGCTTGAACGACAAGTGTGGCGCACTTAGAAACGTTGGACCTAACATTGGGTAGAAGTCTCGGTGGTACGGAGGGTGTGAAGGGTGAGAAGGATAGCAAGAGCTAGACACAGCACTAGGGGAGAAGGCTGGGTGGATAGGTAGCCTCAATGCTGGGAAGCTAGGTATCTGAGAGCTTGATCCCCAGCCCAAGTCGTAACCTTTACTGGAAATGTCTGACGAAAACGCGGCCATTGGCGGAGGAACCAATGAATTGCTCAAGCCTAATGGCGCATGTAACCGTACTCCTTGCGCCTTTTCGCGCTTTCTCCACTTAGCTCGTCGATTTTGGAACCACACCTGCAACAGAGCAAGAACAGAAAGAATATGCTTGTCAAGTCGGCTTTGTCATTTCTTCGACAATACTAACTATATAGTTATTCTTAATTTTCTAATTTATGTTAAGAGTTTTTTTGTCTATACAAAAGGTTTTGTGCACTTAAAATATAATTATATTACGAAGGAACAATTTGCCCCCAAGTGGAAAAATAATTGTGAGAAATACTTGTCAATCTTTCTTCGCGTCGTCAAGAAAAAAAAAACTCAAAACCTGGCAATGGTCTGTGTTTTTATCAATTTTGCATAAGAAAACAACAAAAACCAATAACAAGAGAAACCATTTATATTTTCTCATCTGTCTATGAATTTCATGGAATTTGCCCGGAATTCTAAATCTTATGTGCCAAATCTCCTTCAAGTTTTCAAGTCCTTTCTTTGTTCGTTATTTTTAAAAGAATTGAAGCTGTTTTTGAATTGAGCTCGTTTGGCGTCTGCAAAGTGAAGTTGAAAATTACGTTACGATAACATCTTCCTTTACGGCTGGCAGATCATGTCAGCGGGGGTTTCAATCCTAGGATGTCCTCACAACAAACTAGATAAAACAATTTTTAGCCCATTGTCACCTTTAACTATAAGCTTAACTCCCGAACTATCGACTTTAAAGATATTCTTTTGAAGCAATCATTGTTTCTATTCTACGAGGCGTTTAATTGGGTTTTTGAGAAGACAAAAGCTGTTCATTGGTTATCAATAGCACTGTAGATCAGTCATCAATTTGTGGCCATAATCGCGCAATACATCCCTTATCAAATTGGACAACTAATTCCAGAACGAAATTGGTTCACTTAATTACAAAAAAATATGAAATCAAGATACAAGGCTGGCATCATTGGAAAAAGAGCATTGATTAGCACGTTGCCTTTATATAATATTCTTAAGTCAATCTTGTCTGACAGTATAATTGTCGCAGTACAAACCTGTACCCTTGCTTCTGTTAAGTCAATTTTCATCGCTAATGCCTCTCTCGTAAACACATCGGGATAGTGAGTCTTTGCGAAAGCTCTTTCAAGTTCTTCGAGCTGGTAACTCGTAAACGTTGTCCTGTAGCGCCGTTGTTTACGTTTACTGTTCGGTGATCCCTTGCTTTCATCGCTTTCTACCTCTTGATCATAATCCTCGGAGATTTTTTCGATTTCATCAGCGTTCTCTTTCAACTCCTCGCCTGCACCATCTGTTTTGCTTGTCAATTCATTATTTTCTAAATGTAATAAACGGTGAAATAGAATTGATTTGAGCGCGTCCAGACCTAGAGTGAATACTCTATTAATAATAGGCGTTTAGAGAGGCGTTTAATGGTTTGTGGATAATAAAAGGATTTAATAAGCGTTTGGAGGTGAGAACAGTTCACATTGATCCGAAACGTCTCTCAAATCACGCACGGCTCAGAGCTTTGGCTATAGCTCAAAATATTCTTCAAAAATATTTCGAATTAAATTCTGATTTCATTACCGAGACCACCGATGAAAAACAACACAGCACGAATGTTGTTGAAACCCCCTCAAGTAGAAAAACAGTAATTTGTAAACGAAAATATTGATACAAGCTAGCATTACCAACCAAGATCTATCTAAAATGGAATTAACCTTTCTGAGCTACTATATGGATAAACGTATCACAACCCGGAGTGAACGGTCCTAAATGACTTTAAGAGTTGAGAGTTTTGAAGATTACTAAGCTCTCGAACCCCCTTGTGAATATCGTTGAGTCAGTGATTTGTAAAAAATCATTGAATCTTTCATGGAGCATTGCACTGCATTGCACGCGCTAAAGAGTGTTTCTGGAATAAAAAGTGTACAAGAACCAAAACAAAGAAATGTTCAAGAACCCTTTAAATAGGAACTTTGTTATTTACCTGTTTTTATCTGTTTTTGTTCTTTGATTTCTTTATCTTGTCGACGCGATTGATCCGCCTTCAAACCCAGTATTCCGTCAATAGTATAAACGGTCCTTTGCACTCGCGGATTTTGCTGTTCGGTCGACATTCTGTGTTCAACGTTGGCCTGACTAAAACCTGGCGAAGCCGACGGTGGTGACTTGAATTAAAACGAGTCTGCAAAGCACATATGGGGTTTTGTTGAAGAGCCACCAATAAGAGTGTATAACCGATAATGAAATTAATAAATTTACGAAAGTTCATTAGCAGCAATCATGATACAGAGCGAATGTTCTTTACATTTGTAATTAGTTTAATCTTATTTAATCAAATAGCCCACAACAGGGTGAAAATGACATTTTCCTCATTAGCATAGAGTAAAAAAACCTCAAAAACCTAAGCCCAACATTTCACGTCTTTTTGCTTAAGAAAAGCGGCTCGAGCTCCGACGCAAAAGCGGGCTGATTTCATAGGAGAGTTGCCGAGTAAGGTTGTCCAATTGCTACGAAGACAAGAATTTTGGTTTAAAAAACCCTGTTGACCTACCGTGAAGAGTGTTTATTCAGGGAGCCCAATACTTCTCAACAAGCTGCGGTTACGTTTCACCTCCGGTGGAGTGAAGAGATCCACTTTTCTAGGGTCAATGAGACTTAAAATGGATCGACGCAAAAGCTATCTAGCCATGACTTTAGCGCTTGTGCAGTCTACTTACTTCACCATAAACCTAACCACGATCTCGTCGGCTTAGCTTAGCTTACAATTACTATTCCTCCAAATTTATCACACTCTTTTGGCTTAATAATCAAATGCTGTTCCTCAAACTATAAATTAAAACCGCATTTAACAATGAACTAGGCAATTCACATCTTAACCCAACAGCTGGTGTCCACAATGACCCGTAGCAAAATGAATATCAAAAACTTAGCCGGTCGTAACTTGTGATTGGCCTAATTAATTACCATTCTGTCTCTTTAATTAATTAATTAAAATCGTTTAGTTGAAGTCGATACAACACTCTTGGTTAGCCAATAGAAATGTTGCCTTTAAATAGAAAATAGATTGGGACTATGCGCTTAAAGTATACATTAACACATTTCATATAAGGATGTATTTACATTGGGCTTTTTTCTTGTCTTGTTTTCAAAACCTCGCTTTTTTCGGAGAAAGCCTTTGGTCATTAAATCATGGCCGTCAATTGGAGGCAATCAAGCGATGATGACATCACGGCTTCTCTCCTTGGATCACTTCTTACCAATAAAGAGATTCTTCCTTCAAAAGTAAGTCAAAAGTGAGCGTTCGTAAATCCACTCTTGGCGTTGGCGTTTTCGTTATTCGCGTCGATTGTTTTGAATACGAATCAATCGAATAACTGTTGAGCTGCGGGAAATTATAAAGAAAAATTGAAAAAAACAAAACAAACAAATGAGAACAATCAATAAATTTATAATAACAAGAGAATGTGGCATTGAACAGGTAGAAATGGCGCTATAATGTAATAACATTATTGTGAATTTAAGCACTTAAAACTAAACAAGTCACTGATATTTATCAATAAAACTTATAATTCAAAAAAAAAATTAATCCTATTCCTTAATTTTTCAACTAGTTTTGTCTAACTTTAGAAGACTTTCCTGTAAATTTTTTGGCTCCAAATTTTCAGAGTTTGGAGTGAGTTCAGCCATGGAAAATTTAACGTCAAGTTTTTCCCTGGTCACCTGTGCCGGATTTTTTCGGATGAATGGTTGAGCGGCTGGTTAATGATTCTCTCAACTGGTATTAACACATACTTTAAGAAATCTACCAGATTCTTTCATATCTGAATAAACTAGCAATCCTTCTCGCTACAGTAGTTTCGATAATTAAGAACTGTTTAGCTTGGTTGGGTTTTAGGTGGTCACTTTACAAGTTCAACGCATTGTCGAGCAGCTATTCATCCTTGTAGTTCACTTGTACCTACGTTTTTTTACGGTATTTTGGTTGCAATTTTTTCTAATCTTTAAATGAATATGCTCGAGTAAAATCTAAACAGCTGATAACCTTATGAGTTCAAAATAAACACGCGGAAAATAAAAACAAAATTTAGAAAGATTGTTTGTAGCTTGGCCGGTGAGATTCGAACATCAACATCGAAATAAAGCGCGTTTTGGAAAATTATGTTCGTAGCTTTTTTCAGAACCATTTATTTCTGGTATAAAATCTATATTTCAAAGAGATATATGAGTTTTTCACTAATTGGTAAGCAATTAAGTCGTTATTTTTTCCCCCTCGGAATTAATATTAATTTACAATCGATCTACCCTGCGAGCAGAAGCTATTTTTCTGGGTATTGTCTCGTTCGACCTATTAGGCCAGACCGGAGGGCACTGTAAGCAGGTTACAATCGATCTATCCAGGAAAACCAAATCTCCACTAATAGAAACTACCAAATTCACTGGAAGCTTGCATGCTTTTTTTCTTTCGGAGATTATTCTAGCAGTTTTTAGCTAAATCTCGTTCCCTGAGCCCGCGACAACTCCAGTCAGCAGAATAGTTTGCAGGCTCTAAGCAAGAAGGCCATAGAGAACTTAATTTAATGAATCTATTGCTAATGGGAGATTCATTCTCATACTCAGATCTACAATACTCATTTGGCTAATGAGTGAGGAACAGATCTGTGCACGAAATTTTGGAATCCAATATCCACATCTTGGATATTGCTGTTTGATTACATGGTTATAATACAATTATGTAGCATTGACCTTGCACCTTTGCAATCCCTCCCAGCTTCGCTGAACTTTGGAGTTGGACTGGACCTGGCACTACAAAATGAGTATGAGACTGGGTGACAAATTTTTTTGGAACATTCTTTTTCAAATCACTGAAAACCTAATACGCATACTAACAAAATGAACAGTATTTTGTTGTGTTTTGAGATGACAGTGTATTAATTAGTGAATACTATGTGCACAGTTAAGTTAAAGGACACTCGATATTCAAAAGATCACAGTAAGTTTGGTCAAGATGAGTAATTTACTCACACAATACTGTCTTTACTAGTTAATTTAATGACTTTCAAGTCAACAATTCAAAAAGCTTTTAGCACAAAAATGCCTAATGATAAATAAAGCTCACCTGATAGGTAGAACTCAACTGTAAAATAGACTTCATTTCAAATGCCATGCCAGATCTCAGTGGTCAAGGAAATAACAATATTAAGGGAGGCAAACCACTTCTTCTAGTTTATAGACCTCAGGGCACATAGGATTTTCCTTTTCTTTGTGGATCCAAAAGTAGAGATTCCTTGAACGCTTGCACCATCATGAATAAGATATTTTCAAAACAAATTAGGTTATTAACATCAACAAATAACTAAAATCGATTTTATGGTTCTTTGAAAGCATCCATGGTTATAAGAGGTCCACTCACTCCAGTTCCCAAACGACCGGAGGGCGACGCATGCGCAAAACAGCACGAGCCCATAATAGCCCAAGCCGTGAAGGACTGGGGGAATAGATCCTTAATAAATTTGCTTTAACCTTCGCTCCAAACAAAAGGGTGCTTTGCGATTGTGCGAACGACTTGTTATAGTCCATCATACAAATACTTAAAAAGAAGAGATAACTAGCTAAAAACTAGTGTGAGCTGCGTCAGTGTTTCTAATGAAACGGTTATGATAAAAAGGTAAGTTTTACACCGTGAAAAGATGAAAAAACTTACTGACGTTTTGGACGCTTTGATCATTAAACATTCAAAAAGGTAATTTGAGCAAGATATGACGTCATTCCAAGACCGCAGTGTATTGTTGGTCTGCATGAATATTTCACATTAGCGTTTTTAAACAACTGAATATAATAAATCAGGCGCGCTCATTGGTCACAATTTACGTCTTATGTTGCTATATTCACCTACAGGTGAATATAACTCGCACACTCGAAGACTCGCGTCTTGGTAAATATTCCCCGATATTCACTTCGCCTTCGGCGAATAATTGTTAAATATTGTTTTTGGTAAATGAGTGGATTCACTATTGCAGGTAGCTGTCGAGGACGTTTAAAACACTTTTTACAGGTGTTAGCATAATTTAGATGTAAGATGAATGTCTTGGAATGCCGCGGACTAGCCCCTTTACTAGTATAACCTTTATGAAACAGCAATGGTGAAATAATTGAAAAATCACCTCAACGTGTTAAGCAGTCAATTTACTGGTACTACTCGGTATAATACAGAAGCAGCAGCCTTTCGGCACGACATACAAAATTACTGAGCACGAAGAATATACTTCCTATCCATCACATCACAAATACTAATGCACTCACGATCTGGGGTCATATACACCGAATCAAAGTATGGCGTCTATAATATAACAACTGTAATATTTTGGGCTGACTTGCCTCTCTTACAGGTGACAAGGTTTTGCGTTTCCACTTGAGCACTTGGCTAATCCAATTGGTTTCCATACTTCGATTCGGTGTACAAGACTCTTAAACGTACTGTAGTATACTGGTTACAATTAGTTGTCCGTCTATTAGAATAGAAAACTAGAAGCTTTAGCCGGATATAATAAGCAAGCTTTATAGTACTTATGTTTAAAAAATAAGAATAAAATCCTTTGCTATGAGATTTTATAAGACGCTTACAGTAATAAGATTTAACAATTTTTCTCGTTCACTAAATGCTATATACATGGCACGAAATTACAAAAACATCTTTAAAAAAATTAAATCACTAATTTAAGAGCCCGCAGTTATTGAGCCTATTGTATCTTAGTCACGTGACGTTTTTGCATTATTTCGTCCCTTGAACTTGCTTTTCTCTAGTGACGCAAGCATCAAAAATGTTTTGATCCTTGAGCTACCACCGTAGTGAGAACCAGGCCTAAGGAGAATGACAAATTAACCTCGAATACTAAAGATTGCCAGCAAGTTTCGTTCATAGTGATAAAGACGAATATAACGTCAGATTTTTAGCATTCAATTAGTCACGTGACTGTCAGGTGCAAAAGCCTAGAACAACATAACATGAAAATATATAGTTATTCATTGATTCCCGTTGAAAATAATATACGATTCCTTGTAATTTGTTTAGCCAAATATTTCGTGACGTTTTCGTTTACATAGTATCATAGCAGGAGTATAATATTTATATAAAAGTTTTTAACATTAAAGAATAGCGTGGACTGTAAATATATCATCCACATTTTATCAGCTACCATAATTCTCTATACATGGCTGCCATATTTGAATGTGATGTTCACGCACGAAAGTGAGGTTTGAGTACGACTCTGATTGTTCAACTGGTAGATTTGACTCATGCCTCATTTCCATAACGAGAAATCCAAAGACTACATCAAAATCTCTAAAATGTTAACTAAGCTATGATACGTCTAGTCTGCTCCAAGAGTGAATAATGTTATTATTAAGACATTAGAAGGATAAGATGGATGGCCATCGTGATCGTAACTTATTCGCTCTTTGAGCATTGGGGCCGCGAACGAAATCGAGATAAAAATTCTAAAATCTATCTTAAAATAAAGAACTAGATAACAGTTAATGCGCAAATGAGCGCTATTGTAATGGGGTTTAAACCTCTATCCAATGTTAATATTGTACAGTATCCATCGTAAATGGACTTGGTAAATGTCCGTTGGTTTTGCCGTAATGTCTATTCTAGGATCCATCCTTTGGTAATATTGACATGCAGTCCAGGAATTGTTGATTTTCAGTGTTGTACTTGTTTGTTTCAAACTCGTCGCGTCTGTAGTTTGGTTTGGAATAATGCGTGAGCTGACGATGGGGGGTTGTCTACGCCTGCTTCACGCACACACTCACACACGCTCGCACTAACTTCTCGCAAGGGGGACTCGACTCTCACGCACGCACGCGCTCGTCTCATTTTCACTCATGTTCGTGTGTCACGCTTGCTTCACGCTGTATTCTCACGCGCGTTCCTTTCGCTTTGGTAGATTGATTCACTCACGCTCTCACGTCACACTCCACTTGACCTAGTACTACTAGCTGAACTTGAAGCCCTCTGCTGGAACGTTATCTTTTGTACCAAACTGGAACTGACCGTCCACTTCTTGTGGGGCGATTTCTTCATCTACAGCATCTCCCTGAAACCAAAAATAAAATGAAAATTAGAACACTGGAATGCACGCTCCTACGAAATGATGCGGTGATTGAAAAGGTAGGGCGAACAGAACGTAAGACTTTGGAAACGTCGCGGTCTCGTGTGCAACGACTGGTTCAAAGGATGTTGTTAATTTCTTCTTGCAGCCGTGCCGTGTAGTTTAGTAGTCACGCAAGGTAGTATATGTATTTGGTTTGAAAGTCACGTAAGTCACGTAACGCAGTTAAAAAAATGAGTATTACGTTAACTTGTCAAGCAGTACACACAATACAATGTAGAGTGTTCAAAAAGAAATCACAAAATGAAAAATCAAAATATATTGATTAATAGGATGTTTGCATGATGGTGTCATTGCCCTCTACTACCAGACTCCCTTGCACACTTTCTTTTGTTCAGTTAATTAGAACCAATTGTCTTACTATTCTCACGAGGGAATACAAATTTAAATAAGAAAAAAAAATCCGATAAAGGTACTTTTAGGTATACGATTTAGTAAGAAAACTAGTTGTAAAAGACAACGTAGTGGATAGTGGGAGTCAAATGACGCCATAATGCAGACGTTCTATTAGAATGTTCACATACATCGTTCGAGAAGTATCGGTCAATCATCTCAAACGCTAATTTGTAAATTTCTTCGTTTTGATGGTGTTGTAGATGCTCTATCTTGTCAAGACCTGAAAAGGCAAAAAGGCGAAACTTTAAAACAAAACGCGAAAAAAGAAATACGTGCGATGCTTTTTAAGATAAGTTTGGGATCCCTATGGTATTAGCACCATAGGAAACCCAAACAAAAATACTGTTTTTATAACGTCATAAATTTTTACCTCCAGCTTCTTCAATCATAGTGGCAATGGCATCGGCCTTATCCCCAGCCATCTGTAGAATTAAAACAAATGATGGTCAGTAATCAAGAGTTTCAAAGGAAATTAGCAAAAAAAAAAAAAAAATCTTTATAACAGGGAATACCTTTAGTATATTATTAAGTCCATCTAGAACGATCTGTACAACCTGAAATAAAACAATCAGACATTTAGGGTGTTCTTCTGAGATCTTCATTAGGACCACTGGAAACCATAGAGTGTCACTAAATATTAAGGTATTTTTTTCAAATCATCAATAAGATCCTGATTTGTTAGGACAATGGCTAATCATCGTTTGCGAACCCAAAGTGCTAGGGTATTCTTCACAGATCACCATTGGGACCACTGAGGATAATGAACTGTCTAGGGCATTGCTTTTTCTCTATTCATCGAATGGCTCTCCAATATTATATCAGAGCCATCAGTAATCAAAGCCACTCGTTATGGCAATACCTTACGGTATTCCTCTTAGATCATCATTGGGACCACTGAGGACAATTAATTTAGAGTTTTAAAAAACCCTTTTAAAAATACCTGTGGATCTTTGACGTCTAACAGCTTACATAAAGGTTCTATAGCATTACAATAAACAAGAACTGCCACCTAAGAAGTCAAAGAAACCAATTATTTAATATTATCCAGGAAGTAATGAAAAATACTTGAACCAAGTTATTAATTACCTGTTCCTGTCTACCACTCACAGTTAGATTACTTATTGCCCATGCTGCTTCTTTTTGTGTTTGGAATTCACCCTGAAATGAGTTGATTTTAAAGTTTTATGGCAATAAGAGACAAAGGGAATTGAGGGAATCAAGGATGGTGGAGTATAAATGCATTCGCCTTTCACTTCTGGGGTCATGTCAGGTTTGATTCCTGGACTTGGTACAACATGTGAGCAGATGATTTCCTCATGATTTGAGGGTTTTTATCTAGGTTCATCAGATTTTATCCCTCAAAAAAATGTGAGCTATGAGTTAGTTGTGCCCTGAATTTGATCAGCCCAGATGTTGAAGGTTTTTATATATACATTTACAAGGCAAAATGATGAGATAGCTGTTGTATATCATGAAGGATGTATTCAAAAAGACTTACTGTCTCTAGTGTTTGTATGATCAATGGGATAAGTCCAGCATCTATTACTTCCTGAAAAGGAAAAACAATGACAGACCTTACTATCAATATTGCCAAAAAACATAAGGCATGAACAAGGATTGCAAAGCACCCTTCATTGTGGGGGAAAAGATAAATTGGATGTTATTATTTAGAGGGGAAACAATGGCTTCACAAAGTAAAGCAGAAGGTACAAACCTGTACTTGTGATTGATTACCAGCTGTAATGTTAGATAAAAACCATACTGCCTCCTAGTAAATAAATAAATCAACACAGCTTGAATAAATAACACCCTTTAAAAGCTATTTTTGATGCCACTTGGCTCGTTTGGTTGGAACATTGCCAATATTTTGGCAGGATGATGTTTGTTGACTGGCCATCATTTTGAGCCTCGCAGAAGCTACTCAAATTAACCAAAGAAGCGAAGGCTGTTTTTTTTATAGGTTTGCAACAGAAGAGTGTTCAAGCATGTCAGTGTTAGATCAAGGAAGGACTAACGTCCGAAACGTCAGTTTCACTAAGCTTCTTACAGTGATTCAATTTATCCACAAGTTCCTACAGTGTTAGATCAGTTCATTGCTTACCTTTCTTATCTTTTCTTTTGGATGGTTCAATAGCCCAGTAAAGTGGCTTAGAGCACCATGGTTAAGAACAACCTGAAACCAACAACAATAGGATTTGAGATATGAATAATACAATTTCAAAGCTAATAGACCTTTATACCGATACGGTGGCCACCTTGAATTCTACTTTTTTGATTAAGACACTATGGGATGCCGAGGGGGCAACTATTAGAAAAATTATAGACTACACAGCTGTCAGGGTTTGTTTTTTTATCACTTAACGCCTTTCAATGAGAAGCACATTGAAAAAGCAATTTAATTTGTTGGTAGTTGGAACAATATGTGGAACACTGAGACTTCAAATTATTTGAAAACCTAGCACCACCACCCTATGCTTAATTAATTTTCTACGTTTGCCCCCTTGACATCCCATAATTTACGTTTGCTGCTGTATCAGTAGCAAAGTCTAATGTTGTTGGAATCATACCAAGCACAGTATTTGATTACTGTTAGGAAGATGATTCTGTTATATTACCTGTGTTTGTTCATCTGTACCTGTAACAATGTTACCTACTGCTCTTAGTGCTGCAGTCTGAAATAGATGGTACAACAAATTAAATAAAGGAACGAACAAATCAACTGGGAAATAGATCAGCTTGATACAAAAGACATCTGAATTCTGTTTCCCATATTGTGCCTTCAATACCCTATCACAAGAATCCCAAAGAGATGTTTCTTTACAACTGACCTGTAGTTTGATTTCTTGATGGCTGAGCAGTGGCACTAAGAACTGTACAACACCTGACTCTATGACAAGCTGGAAAAATATATACAAAAGTTTAGGTTTCTATCGCCATATATGATAAATAAAAATATGCCCAGACTGTTATAAATTAGGTAGGAATTCAAAAACCTCTAAATTTTCCTTTGAGTTAAGGAAAGGATGTGTAGATGGATTGATAGAATAAAGATAAATTTAGGATCTAAGCAATGTATAATACAAAATACCTGTATTTGGTGGCTTCCTCCGTCAGTTAAATACGACAATGCCCAAACTGTATCAACCAGAATCTAAGATCAAATAGAAAGCTAGAAATGGTGAGAAAGGTTCTAGGTAAAGTAAGATTCATTAGAAAAACATAAAAATATCCAAAGCAGTTTGACTTACATCAAGATCTTGGTGGTGAATAAGAAGAGCAAGAGCTGGTAACACCTATAATGTACAGAATTCAATATTCATATTCTCTTCATATTCACATAGTATAAAAGTTTTTTTCTTTTTCGCTTGCAGTAAAATAATTAAAAATATTCTAATAAAAAAATATCCTAATAAACCTACCTCTCTAATGGTATCTATTGGAGGTGGGGGCTCCTTGTTTCTACATAGATTTACTATCACCCATGTGACATTTCTAAGAAAGGTTATCTGAAAATGAAATGATGGATTTAGGATTGAATTATTATGAAATGGGCTTCCTGTGGTGAATAAACACAGGTAACCCAGGCACTTTATTTAAAGACAAAAGAAACAGTTTCTTACTGGGACACTTGGATTGACAAATTTCAGTAATGGTTTTACTACTCCGTATCCTATGACATAATCTCTCAGAACAGGGCCGTCACCTGAAATATAAAATATATATGTAAATTTATACAATGTTTGAGATATAACGCGCGTGCTGATTGGCTGGCTACTGTGTTTACATCAGAGGACAGAGACACTCTCACGTGAAATCATTAAAAAATATCTCATAAAAGCGATATAAAATGTCCGCTTGTGTCTATATACTGTGTTTCTTTACAACATCTCTCTTGTTCTACAGCCCCCATCATGTTTATATCACAGCATATAGACATGCGTGCTGTTTTATATTCCTAATATATATAATACAATATGCTAAGGTAACCAACTGTGTACTGTAGTTCCAGAAAATATCCAGAATTCCAGAATTTTTTTATATTTCACTAGTGTTCTGAACCCTTACCAATGATGTTGCCTAAAGCCCACACAGCCTGCTCACAAACATGTTGACGAGGGGAGTTGAGTAATTCCATGAAGTGAGGAACTGCACCTGGATAATAAAAAACAATATATTAGCCTATAACATCCACTAACATATCACCTGTATGTATCAACTTTACCAACAATGTTACCAACTGGTCTTAAAATAAGGGCCAATCAGTTGCCAGTCATGATAGCTGGCCATATTAGTTTTAGCTCAGTCATACCTCATTCCTGGCTCAATGTTACTGGTCAAGATGACAATAAAGGTAAAGATTTGACCAGACAAGTTCAAATTCTGGCTGGACATTGTCCAATGACTAACTTTTATTTAAGCCTTGACCAATGATGATGAAGTGGATTCTGTTTGATTGTGAAAAATTCATAGGGCGGCTGTATCATGATATGCCGGGCATTCATAATGCATGACTCTCACACCATGTGTCGATGATGTGTTGTTGCACAGTCATGTAAGATCTACTCTAAATACAGTAATGTTACAAGTATAAAAAATCGTACTTGTGAAGCAAATTCTAGTAAGTTCTGAAACGTTCCTCTTACCTGCACTAACTACAGCCTGTGTTTGTTCTGATGTTCCTGATGCAATGTTTGTCAATGCCCAAGCAGCTTCAAACTGTAATGCAGCACTAGAATGATAACAATATAATCTGAGTTACCATAGGAATTTAGTAATGTACTGTAATAAGATTTTTTATCATTCACAGGGAGTGAGATTGAATGGGAACATAAGAGAAAGAAATAATTGTTTCCTCTTCATTCCAAGTTTACAACTGGGATTTTCTGATATCCCATTTAGGGTCCAGTGGAGGATGGATATTTTCTGCACTTCACACTTTTATGCATCTATGTAATGTGAATGTAGTATACAGTAATTTATAGCAAATGTAAGCTTACTTATTTGCTTGTTGTAGACACTGAACAAGTATGGGAAGTATTCCTGACCTGTAGAAATCAAAGTAATCAAAAAATAAGCATATAGTCAACTCACTACAGTCTTAATTTCATTGTAGAATTTTTTTTACTACTTTAAATTTCTTGATGCAGGGCTAAAAGAAATGGCTATTCAATGGTCAGACAGGAACAACCAGCTACATTGACTGGCCCCCAGAGGTGTTTGGCCAGACACATGCCTATTTTGATCTGACGTTGTCTGTTGACTGGCAGTTATAACATATTGTAATAGCTAGTTATGTTAAGGCACAACAAGAGAGGGGAGAAAGGTGACTTACTTGATTAAGTCATCAATGGGAGGATTCTTGTCTTTTGATAGCAATTTCCTGCAAAGATAACATAGTACATTAGTAATTTATACATTCATGTATGAATAAATCAAGTTACAAGGACCACTGAGACAGGAAGGCTGGGGGGCTATAAATTATTTAAATAAATAAGCTCTATTATTATTAAGCGTTTGTACCTTGCAGCTTGAACGGCTTTTAGCTGGACTACGGGATCCGTACTTGCTGCCTCCTGTACAAATAAAATAAAGGTAAAAATGTAAAATAGAAAATATGTTTTTAGATTTCAGTAGACAAAACAGAATTAAATGAATTGAATTTTGATTTTTTAAATAATTTTTTTAGGAATTTTTTTGGTTTGTTAATAGTTTTTATAGCTACATCTTTCTTCAATTTCTTTTCATCATTAATTTATATTATTGCATAATAATTTTACATTTGTAGTGATGGGCAACCTTTGCAGATTAAAGATTTAGATTTAGAACAGACTTTGCATAAAGGTATAAAAATACAATATACTAGGCTAATTACAAAATAAAATTCATAAAGTTCTTAATACTCACCAAAACAATAGTACTCAAATCTTTTCTCTATAAAAAAATATAAAAATAAAAAACCTTAAGATTTTTAATCATATTACTTAGATTGCATTATAAATTATAAAGTTTCACTCGATATGGATAACTGATCATCGCTTACTGGGAAGATATCATCTTTTTCATCTGTCAAATCCAGAGGTACATTTCGTCTCTTCTGTAATCGGTCTTCTCTTTTTGCCTAGTGATGAAATTTAGACATTAACAAGATTAATATTCATTTTATTCCCAAAACATTATAACTTTTTTTTGTCATAATCACATACTGATGAAGTAATTGCACAACACTGCGACAGCCTACATTCTTACCTTTCTTAGTTCCACTGTTACATCATTCCTTCTTTGTCGCAGAGTCTAAAAGTATAATTTAAAAAATTAATAATGGTGTACACAAACTACTATCTGTTGTTTACTATGTTGTTAAAAAAAGAAATCTGCTTATGGAAGAAGGCTACAAATAACATTCTAATGTGGATGCCATGCTTGAAGATGATAGATGATGCTCAAGTAAAAGAATGTTTCCATGAGTTCTTCTATAAACCAAGCTATCATTGTCATTACTGTTTATTGTCTAAGCTAATAGTTAACACTCTAAACATTTACAACCAGTAGCCTGGTGAAAAGAATAACGAGTCCTAAGAAAAGGGTTTGAAAGAGAAAAGAACTAGAAAATGATAGAATCAACTACAAAAACCTCCTACTGCTTGGCTTAGAAGGTTAGACAAAGTAGAATCAAAAATTTCTACTCAACTTCTTGTTGTTGTTTTTTCCTTCAAAGATCATATTTTCTTGGCGGAGGGATAAGGGGGTTAATGGCATATCTCATAGGGAACACAGTTTTCAAGATTGCCTGTCATCATGCCAGATTTTCTTACTCAATTCAAGGAAATAATATCAATATTTTTGTAATGATGGTGTGAACTACACCAGTTTTCTGTGGTCATGTTTTGAAGTGTAATCCAGATAGGATCCACATCTCCAGCTATAAAAACATGATTTTATTCTCTCCATCAGATTAAATCTGACACATTATTTTGAAAGAGGTGATAATGTGTTTACAATTTCAAAACATGTTCTAATAGAATTATCACGTAATTAAAAGTCTGAAAGATATTCTTGCCGACAGACCACCCATCAATCTAAAGCCTTCATGGAATCATTCTAACCACAAAAAGGAAAGTTAGACATTTTCCCCCTCAAAAATTTTGAAGGTCAATTTGTCCTTTTAAAATCAGACTTGGCCAGTCAAGTAGCAAGTTTGGAGGGACATTGTCCCTTGACCCACCATTATTTCGAGCCCTGTATATGAATAAAGTCATGTGTGATGATCAAGTGGTACCGAAACAAATCAAATCCTGTGGTACAGATTTTTGTACTAGAATCTTTGGAATCCATGGAATCTTTGATAGATAAGTCAAAATGCTTCTCACAATGCTGAAAGCGCTTTAAGATTCAATCCCTCATGCTGTCTATAACCTTGAACTCTATTTCCTACTTTAAGTCCTAACTCTCCAACACAGCACCACCCAACGTCCTGTAGTTCCTGAAACAACCTCTGATTGGACGATCTATATTACTCCTGCTGAAGATCTTATCCCAAAAAAATGCATTAATACATAATGAAAAAGAATCAAATTATTATCATCGTCTTTAACTTTTAAACTAAATTTGGAAAGGTCTTGTAACATTATTAAAGAAATTATAAGGTTAATAAGCATTTTGGGTCCATTGCCACAAATAATTTCAACATTTTGATAGTATGACTTCTGCAGCAAAATCTCAAAGTCTATGATTTAGCTTAGATTCTTAATGCAATAAGCTTTTAGTAAGAAAAATTTCTAATCTGTTGGTTTTAAAGTATCGAATGATAAATCAAATAAATCTAATTTCCAGAAAAACATGATTTTTGGAGAAAAATATCGAAATTCTATGACATTTATTATTTTAAAAAAAATCTGCATAGTATTAAAGATATCTCTCTGCAAAATTAAAAAAAATAATGCTCAACGATACTTTCTTATATCAACTTTGTATAAGCCTAATAAAATTCAAGCCAAGCGGAAGCAGGGTAAGAAAACGTATATGGATTTCATTCAAATAACTCTTGAAGATACTCTTAAAAATCTTGGAATTTAGCTTTATTAAGTATGGATAATGTCCATGAAATAGATACAGACTTTATTGTGTCAAGATGGTTTTATAGACGACCATTTTTATACTAGAAATTTTGAAAAAAATGACTTCCTTTTAGCTTAATTTTTCACGACATTCTATATACTTTGATGAGCTTTTATTGATCTTAAAATTGTATAAAACATTAAATGACTGTTTAACAATAAAGAATACAGTAGTTGAGTTACTTTAGTTGATATTTGTGTGTTTTTGGAAGTAATTTTCGATAAAGATTGATAATCTCTTCGCGTGGAAGTAAGTTAGAGATAGACAGACCAACGTATCTAACACACAACGACTCAAGACTTCATCAAAGACTAAACGATTAGAAGCAAACACTCTAGAAGGAGTATTACCTATCATGGTGATTTCTTTTTGAGCGATGTTTAATGAGTAAAAGTGCAGTGCACATGGTTTTAACGGCATGATAAGCAAACACGCATATTCGTCCAACCATATTTTCAAATCAACCCGCCATTGGAGGCCAAACGTTTTCACAGTTTTCTCCACAACTACTCACCGACACATCTTTGTTTTTATTCTTGTAATATTGAATTCGGGATTCTTGCGTTCTCGTAGACATGTTTCTGTGGGTATTCTTTGGTCTTTAGTAGAGGAAAAGAGGATTTTCTTGCCGGTAAAAATGAAGTCAAGTCAGACGACAAGAAATATCACACAGCACTCGAGGAAATCGCGCCGACACTACTGCGCACGCTCACTACGCTATACCGCTGACTCAACTCATCGCTGGCACCACATCGGGCATTACTATATGACATATTAGATAGACTGTAAGGTGTCATATATCAAGTACATAAAGGGTGTGGGCTAACGTGGGATGGATTTGATCAACACGTGGTATATGTATGGGTTTATTGATCCAGCCCAGTTTTGGTTTCACGGGCAGTTGGGAAAAAAAATGTCTATGCAGGGGCGGATCCAGGATTTTTTTAGGGAGGGGTGCTGCGCACAAAGTTAACCCAGGGAGGGGTCTTTCCGTTTATTTCTGATTCATTCGTCTTTCCTATCCTTCATTTATTTTTTCTTTTATTTATCTATTTATTTACTTATTAATTCATTATGAATTTATTTAAAAAAAATTATATAATTGA